CGAATAGCACCGCTCAGTCTACGGTACTTTTAAATCGCTCCGGATATGATTAAATGAAATTATTATTATCTACTGTAAGATCAGCATAAGGTTTTGTTAGTCTTCGGCTGGAATTTTTTTGACTTGCATGTTTTTCCAGTCTGTTTTTGTTCTTCATGTAGGAACTTTTCTTAAAACCACAACGAAAGAGTTAGTTGGGCCGAGAATTTAAAATATTTAAACTTTTTCTCAGGTAAGCAATAATTAATTTCATAACACTTTCAAAGACAAGAACATGGATAGATAGAAACCAAACTAGAGTGGAGGACAATTTTGAAACAGTAAAAAGCTTCACATACGCAGCAGTTGAATGATATACAGAGAAAAGAAAAGAAGACAAATTCAAAAATAAAATAATAATGGGCAACGAAGACTTTTTCTTACTGTTCGATACGTCTCGCTAGAAAACGGTCAATGGAAATGGAAGATTTACTATATTTAATTAAATATACTTATTTTGAACTGAAAGTGTAGTTAATCCCCATTAAAGATAGCAAATACCATATTAGGCAATGGAAGATCTTCACCAACTGTAAGAATCTCGTATCTCAAAATGCCTAGGATTTCAATGGACTGGTTACGGAGTAATATTGATAAGAGTAACTGATATATTACCAAAAAAATCCCTAGACAGTCAAATGCAAGATGAAAGAACAAACGAGAGGCCAGGGAAAAGATGGGAGGGTGAAGTATGTAGTGATATTTTTAAGAAGAGCTCAGACGTTGACAGACTGTCAATTACTCTAGAAAATAAAATGTAGGACGGAAGAGCAAAAGGGAGGTCACGGCAAAGATGGGGAGAGAAGTATGTGGTGAGGTCAGAAAAGCACGGGCATTAACAGAATGCTGACAAGAGCCCAGAAGGTAAAATACTGGACAGAAAAACAAAAGAAAGGCCACGAAAAATACAGGACAGTACAGTACGTAGTGAGGTTCCCAAAAACGATAGTTAGGTTATCCAGAAAAGCACAGACATTAACAGAGTGCCGACAAGAGCCCAGAGGGTAAAATGATAGGCAGAATAATAAAAGAAAGGCGACGCAAAATACAGGACAGTACAGTATGTAGTGAGGTTGCCAAAAAGGGGCCGTTACGTTGGTATACTGCCGAATAGTTTCCTAACCAGTAAACTGCAGGCCAGGAGACCAACAGGAAAGCAATGAAAAAGCTGAAAATATCAATGGAGCTGTAGCGATATTGAAACAAGAACATAATTGCTAGAGATTGCATAAAAACTAATTACTTGGCTAGTTAGTTAGAAATTAGCTTAAAACAATATCTTACCATATTCCTTTGCTAGTTTGTTCAAATATGTTTGTTCATATTATTTTAAAACTTATTTTCGATGTACTATTATGAAGATATCAGAAATATTAACTTTTAATTATCTATTTCTGCACAAAATTTCGAGTGCTACAGTGTTGCCACATTGTACCTGTTATTGGTTCCCGCTTAAAAAACACAGGTATGCCATATAGAAAAAAAGTAAATACCGTATATCGATAACTAATAAAGTAATCAATTTTGTACTTATATATTCAAATTATTAACAACAAAGTGCATAAAACGAAAAACATATCGTTGGCATAGATGTGATAAATTAATAAAATATTGTTAAAAAATGTAAAATACTGGAAATAATGAGACCTGGAACTATGAAGAAGTGTAAATTTTTGTCACCGATGCTTTGTTTTAAGTTTTTATGAGCAATAGTCTGCAAATTTCTTTTTGGTTACAGCTTCGCAGATATTCAAAGTAATGTGACAACTATCGAAGTATTCTTCAAGGTTCAGGAACAGTTGCAAAAAACAAAGGTATTATTAAATAAGTGATGTATTCGACCGTTACTTGATGGAATTTTTGATTTTGCTTCTTCTGTTGGTTAAGCTTTAGCCTTTTATTATCAAATGTTGGACACTGGCCTCTCCCAACACTTTCCATTGATTTCTATCGTGAGCAACATATTTCCAATTTGTTCCAGCTATGTTTCCAATGTCCAACGTTGTGTTGTGGCATTTCAACGTTGCTCTTTTTTTCTAGCAGTGTGGCTTGCGAAGCTCTATTTAAGTTTGACAATTTTTGTTGACATATCCTCGACTTTTAATTTTGATCTTATCCAGTCGTTTCTTTATATATTTGACAGTTGTATCCTTTGTATTCCCCTTTCTGTTGTGGCTAGTTTGTTCATATTTGTCTCATTTAGGATCCAGGTTTGACATCCATATGTCATGATAGGAAGGATGAACTGGTTTAACACTTTGCTCCTCAAGTATTGAGGTATTTTGCGGTTCTTAAGTACCCAACTGATTTTTCCAAATTCTGCTCGTGCTAGTCTTGCTTTCTAATGATTAACGCACTTTGGTTCTCTTTGTCGTCTCAGAATTTGGCTTAGGTAGATATATTCTTGGACTAGTTCTATCTTATTTCCATTTATAGATATACCTCTGTTGTCATCTGTTTGTCTTTGTTTTATTCGTTTTTAGGCCTACGTATTGAGAGCTGTCTGTAAGTTCCTCCACCATAGTTCGTAACTCTTCCAATGTGTGATATAGAATTTCTACATTCTATATCAACTCTATTGAATAATTCCTACAGATCGTATTTTGTTGAGTATTTTCCCTCCCATGATAGCTATTAAGCTATCATAGGAGGGAAATAGCAATAGATATTAAGCTTACCTAAATATTTTCTCAGAATACATGTTAAAGAGGGCGGAGGAGAGTAAACAGCCCTATCTTACACCTTGTTCAATACTGATCGGCTTCGATACAGTTAAGTGATTCTAATACAGTATGGCAATAACTATTTATTGTCTTCTTCATCTATTTGGATGCTCTACAAGGCAATAATTATGCTTTCAATCATTAATGCCCTTTTCATCAAAAACCAATCAATTTAATACATCAAAGAAGTTCAATTACTCCAAAGTATCATCGCTCGATGTTTCAGACGGTAGTGCCTCACTCCAACCAGAAATTTTCAAACGCAGTAGTATCAATCTAAAATCAATCTGAATCATTGAATTGTATACATGATTGCTGGAAGTGGCGGGACCTTCACAGATATAAAAACCAAGACACAAAAAAAGTAAGAGCACTTTTTACTTACAATTGCCAATACTGTAGGACGGGAACGCACCTAAGGCCTATAAATGCTGCGCTGTGTTGCCAGAAAGCGAAGCATTAGATGAATAAAACACAATGAGAACTTTCGAACCAATTTGTTGTGGAATTTCTATGTTATTGTCATTAAAAAAACATTTGTCACATCTACGCTGACGAGATTAATCTTTGTTAAAACTTCTGTGCTGGTACACTACAACTATGTCATATTAGACCGCTTTTAATCAAAACGATCATTATTTTGTATAATACCTACCTGAGATATCAATTCCTTAAAAAAATACGGACGAGAAAAATAATGTAATTACATGCAAAATCTAAAGAATGATTGTTAGTGAGGTGATAATAGGATTGGACTATTATTAAAGTAGCTTATAGTATCACTTCGTTGCCTAACTAAAAGTTGATGATTAAAACTATCCTATTCAGGTTAAAAATTAAAAATAAAGATGGCCACTATCAGTATTACCAACAAACAATTTATACGTCATATGTGTGGCGTCTTCATCTCGTTTTCTGAGATTAGATCTAACTTGATTCTGGTTCATGTCTTAAAAAATGAAATCAATGAGGTTGATTTCATAGACATATAATATAAGATAGACTGATCGTTGGAATACGAGCCCGGTCCCCAGTGCAATTGAGAAAACTGGTCTGAAGCAGTCCCTGTATCTCTTTCTTATTTGCCAAGTTTATCGATCACGTGGTTGATAAACCCGAGCCATTAGACTGAAATGCGGGGATTGCTTTGCGTCAGTTTTGTGTCACACTGGGGGAATGCGACTATATTGCAATATATCTATCTACATCTGTCTATCTTGTATTATATGTCTACGTTTGATTTAGATCTATCATAACCTTTACGTCAATAAAGGCTTGACGTCACAACAATATGGCTTCAGTGAACTTAAGTTTTAAATGGATACAGACAAAAATACATTATTTTAAAGGTAGTTAATCTTAATCCACCTCTGCACATCAGCCTTGAATGTATTTTTTTAAAAATAGTTAGAGTTTTTGGAATAATTTTAATATAATAGAATGAATGCTAAGAAAAGTATAGATATAGCAAATTTTGCTTTCGATATCTCTAATATTAGGTAATAATAAATTACATTTGATTGATTTACATTTTTATATGAAAGCAACACGTGCTAGTGGAATTTAGATGTTCATGAACATTAAGCATCACGCCAGCCTGAGTATTATTCAATATTACTCGGATTTGCCAATAAATGCATCCAAATGCAAGTCAGACTTGCACGTTAATACGTTAAGGTTTATGTTAAGCAACTAATATTAAACAACGATCCCAAGAAAGACAAAAAATGCTAATCAGTCAATCAACGCTAACTAAATCTTAAATATCTTTATCATTTGTAAAAAGAATGTCTGTAATTTATTTTATATAAGACAACGTATCAGGCACCAAAACGTCTTTTTTCTTCATTCACGAAGTAGAAGACGAAAACAGTCTCTAATAGAAAAAAAAAACAGGATCACTTAACACAACATCTTGAAGTCATTTACTTTGGATGAAAGAAAAAAGACACCACTGTGAATCTTTGAACTACGTAGCGACCGCTACAAACAAAGGATTTTCAAATATTTTAGCGGTTGATATGTAGTTCAGAGATTTGTAGAATGTTTTCTGTCATTCAAAGTATATGCCACTGCGCAGAATATACTGTAAGGAATTTACGCTTAAGAATTCTGTTTTTTCTCTCCGAGACTGTCTTTGATTTCAACTTCTCAAATTTTTAAAGAAAAAGAACTGGTATTCGTGCCTTCTGGTGTCTAGCGTGCTGGCCTCTGCCCACTAAGTCTCATTTTTTTATTCCAAACATAATTCGTATTTTTGCAATTATCCATTTAACAAATTTCAAATTAATAATACATTGAATACCAGTTCCTCTATATTATAAAAAACATAACTAAGAGTTTCTTCACCAAATATAGTTGTTATCCAGATACTGGAAATATAACTTAAACTGAAAATAAATAAAACTTCACTATACGGAATTAGAGTTACAATGAGCTAGCATGTGACACCGTTGTTCTTCCAGCCTTTGCTTGCTGGCAATAAGGTACGAATTTTCGACATAGAGGTCCTTAACCAGCATGTCGGTCTTTTCCAGCTTGTCCAACTGCTCCCGGTTTATTCGGACTTGTTGGTCGAGTTTCTCCTGATAGTATTTCAGTTTGGAATGAGTCTCGGCTTGTTCGCTGCTAAATTGGTGCCAGAAATCTATAGAAATTCAAAAATTTCAATACATAATTATATTAAACAATTAAATGATAAATATTTTTGGTAAATTGTTCAATAGTTAAAAAGAATCTACTAAGTTTAGAAGGTGTAGGAAGGTCAAAACTAACAAAAGCAACAGTGTTCGAAATATAAACTGGCAAGGTATTACGAAAATGTAGAATAAAACTTCACAATTGCATACTGAATTTTTTTCAATGCCATCCTCAGAACTGGCTATTTAGATAAAACATACACAGTAAAAACATAATAAAATTAGACACTATTTTTATATTTTTGGCTTTAAAAAGTTAATCCAATTTATTGCAAAGTGTCAAATTTGTTTCTTTAAATTCTACGTAATTTTTCTTCTTCTTCTCATCGCGCCGTCTCCTTTCGAAGGTTGGCGATCCAAATGGCAATTGTAGTTTTGGAAACTGCTGCGCGAAAGCTTTCTGCGGATGAGCGGTCGAACCATCTCCTCAGGTCTTTCAGCCATGAGTTTTGGAGTCTTCCTACTGATCTTTTGCCCTGTACTTTTACTTCCAGTATAACTTAAAGTAAGTTATAGTCAGTATATATACAGACAAGTTCGTATGTATATATACATCTCAAAGGCATCTATTCTTTTTTCTATTTCAGAGTCCATAACTACAGTAAGACAGAAAAAACGTAACATCTGATCATTTGGATTCTAAGCTGCAGACTAAGGTCTAATCTTGTAAAAAATGTTTTCATTCTCATGAATGTTTTCCTTGCTTGTTCGATTCTTGATAGGATTTCTTTTTTTGGATTACACTGACTATTGATATTTACTCCCAAATATTTTATGGAATTTACCTGTTCTATTATTTAACCCTTGGCATACACATGTACGTTTATTGGTGTCTTTGAAACTACTTAAGTTTTAGTTTTGGAAACGTTTAGATGTAAACCGAACATTTCGCTGTGGTGAACTACCGCATTTATTATATTTTGTAGTTCTTGTGCGTTGCTTGCTATTAAGGCGGTATCATCAGTATATCTGATGTTGTGTATGCTGATTCCGCTAAACTTAATTCCACCTTGGACCTCGTCTAAAGCTTCTCTGAATATAGACTCCGAATTCAAATTAAACAGTAGCGGTGATAAAACGCAACCCTATCTAACTCCTCGTCGGATTTGTATATCTTCGGATGTTGTGTGCTCTATTTCAATTGCTGCCGTTTGGTGCCAGAATAGTACTGAGATAATTCGCAAGTCTTGTTCGTCAACTCCAGTTGTTCTTAGTCCAGTCAAATGTTATTTTTTAACGTAATCTTTAGAACGGTACAACTAAAGAGTTTGCGTATCTCGTGCCACAGCCATTAAATCCGCATGTTTTGGAAACGTGTGTAAATTCATATGAATTGGTAATACGGATTCCATAATATGATAACTAATGTTATATTGCTATGAATGAGGTGGTGATAGATTAGACATTTTTCTTTCTCCAGTTTCTCATCTTCTTCAGATTGTAGAGCTGTTGAGATAGTTTTGAGTGTATCTTATCGACTTGATCAATCTAGTTCAATCTGGTTTTAAAAGTGATGCCCTATAACTTTGCTAGCTGAGATTTATTTGCCGATTTATCAGAGCTAAATGAAATATTCAGTATCTTATCTACATCAGGTTTGTTAGCAGTGAACCATGAGATCAGATCTATCCAAAAATCTCCTTTCGATCATCAGCCCACGAACATTACCAGGAAATAAATAACAGCGTGTGGCACTTGGGGAGTGCCGACAGAAGTGAATACTTCTTATGGCGCGTTATTACTATACGTGAGTTTATGAAATTGTATGTCAGCTTATTACTGAATTGTTAATATTTTTTATAATAACATCACAGATTTAAGTTCAATTCGTAATTTTGTAGTTGTTTTGGAAGTTTTTAGAAGATATCTCTTTTTCTTTTGCAATAGTATACCAAATCTCTTGTACTAAAACGATGTCTAACCGTTTCATACTATCAGTAAGTTGTGCGGAAACTGATTGGATTCGTTGATACCTTTTTGGGACATAGACAGTCTGAAATTATCGTTTGATCTTTGATGACTCTTGTCTTGTATTGTACCAATTATCGCCATATAATGAGAAGTTTGCGCATGGTTTAGATGTGCAAGAGTTTCACGTACGTGTCATGCTCAAATAAGAAATCTACAGTAAATAACATAGCTGCCGCTCCTATTTAAAGTTTTCAGTTGATCCGCAGATGTTCTTTATTTTAGATCTTATTCACACTTGACATATGATAAGGGATATTAATCGTAACTTCTCCACTTAGTGTTTCTTAAGCACGGTCAAATGGTCAAGTGGTCAAATGCTTTTATAAAATCTATAAAAACTACAACTAGCTCTTATCTGTGGGCGTAGCATTTCTTAGTTAGTAGTTGCATACAGTATAGTGCCTTTTATGACAGAAGCACATCTTAATTAAAAGAAAACCATTTGGTATTAACTTTTTGCAACGCTACCAGCTGATCGGTCGAAACTTCAAATCCAAATCGATTTGGACCTATAAATTAATATATTCGGCATCGCTAGCAACTCCATCTCTGCATTTTCCAAAATAAAATATGAGGTCCTTAATTAACACCCGATAATATGTTAAATCTTTGTCAAGTGAGACAAATCTCAGTCAAACAAGTTAAAAAAACTTGAAGTGCAAAAAATAGTGAACGGATAAATGCGCATTCAACACACTTGCGAAACAACTGATCGATAAAAATACTGAAATGCGTACATTAAGGCGTATTAAGCCAGATACCTGGTAATTTCGTCGGACGTTCATTATATCTTTGACCAATAAGCGTCCAGACTACACCACCCAACTTGAACTCCCATTCCTATTGGCCAGTGACTTGAAACTCCGACCTCACCACTACAGGGATAAATAATCTAATGCCTAGAGCTCATATGTATTGAGTTATATGGCCATGACCATTGAGCTATATGGAACAGACAGTGAGTTCACTTCTGACACTCGATTCTACGACTCTGAGGGTCTGAGGCGAGCTGAGTTTATGTGCCTTATAATAATTTATATTATTTTCTAAGCGTAAGAAAGTTTCCTATTTGTAACAGTGTACTTTAACGTCACCTACTCACAGGTAGGTGTATGTCTATTAAGTAGTTGTTAACCTAATTGTGTAACTTCATCATCTAGCCCCATTTTCACATCCATTGTTGGATATAGGCCTCCTCCAAACGTCTCCAGTTCTCTCTATCTCTAGCTGCTGCAATCCAGTTTGTTTCTATTCTCCTTAGGTCGTCGGTCCATCAGGTGGATGGTCTACCTCGACTTCGCTTGTCGGCTTTTGGTCTCCACTCCAATAATCTCTTCGTTCATCTTCCGTCTTCCATTCTAGCAACATGTCCAGCCCACCTCCACTTTTGTTTATTGATTCGCAGTATAATATCGTCTACGCCAGTTCGCCGGCGTATCTCCTCGTTTCTCACGCGATCTTTCAAGGTCAGGCCCAGCATTGATCTCTCCATTTGCCTTTGTGTTACCCTCAAGGGTAGTAGCAGTTGTATTGTGTAACAGTTTTTCGGCAGTAGCATTGTGTAACTTAATAGTTGCTAAATAACGAAAGAGATTTCTTGCTGAAGGGTTTACTACAGGGAAGTATATAAACTCACTAAAATTACTTATTATATTTAGTTTAGATACCTTTCTACACCTTTTTCTTAAATAATTTGATGGAAGAACCTAAAAAATGAAAAAAGATGCTCACTAAATGTGATAAATCTAAAAACGATATTACGAACAAATACCTAAACTTCTTACACTTGTATATCTGAAAAGGCATACTTACGTTGCAGCATTTGTTCATGGCAGTATTTCTGTTGTTGAAGACACACTTGCAGACTTCTAACTCTTTGTTCCAAAAAGTTCCGCCTGGCGTTCAAATTATGGAAAGATCTTAAAGGTATAACTATTTTCTGCTCAGGTCCAAAGTTCGGGTTATGACAACTGCTCTGACTGCCAGAACCGGTTCTTTGATCTGTGTCACGATGCCCGTCTTCCTTTTCTGGCACGTTTTTCTTATAAATATTTTTGTTGTACTTCTTTGTTCTTTTAGGCCTACAAGGTGTGCAGGGGGTGGAGTTTTTGTCTAAACTAGTGGTACTACAAGACGTGGACGGACCATTAGATTCGGTTTTATTATCAAAACTCCAACTTACTGGAAGAGACTTACAATTCTCGGATTGTTCATCATTTCTGCCTTGCTGGTTCCAGACTAGCGAATGATTAATGTATTCCGCATTATTTTGAACTTGAGGACTAGGTGGCATCATTTCCTCGGGATATCGACTAGTATTTTCGATTACATAACACGACAAATTTTGCATTTTGTTCAATATTCTAATTTCTTCGGTATCTAGTTCAACTTGGACGGCTACATCCTTGGCTTGTTTCAGTGCTAATTCAGTCAATTTTTCTTTCAAAAACGCTATTTCCTCGTCCTTCTGTAGTAGTTTTGTTTCGCTCTCTTCTTTATACACTTCAAACTCTTCTTCCAAATCGGTAAACTGTTTTTCTAAATGATAAGTTTCTTCTATAGTAGGTAATCTTCCATCTGGCAACTCTTGATCGGTGAATTGTTCTTCATATTCTTTCATCTTTATAATTAAATCCGCCAATTTATCGCTGTTGACTTTTTGCTCAGCTTCGTACATTTGTCTTTCTTCATCGACCTTATTTTGCCAATAGTCCTCGCATTTCTCATACTCGTTCCTCAATAACTCAACACAATTTTCCAATTCGGCACATTTAACGCATAATTCTTTATTTTGCACTTCTAATTCAGTCACCTTCGCCTCAAACTCATCAATAAAGTCTGTTTGTGAGCTAGCGCACGCGCATTCCTTTTCCGGACTGTCAAGTTTAAACGTATCTAAAGAGTTAGTACCGTTAAGCAGGAACGACTTTTCCAATTTCTCACTAACCTTCTTCAAAGTATCACAGTTTATGTTGTCTTTTTCGATCATCATTCTCATGGCTTCTTTTATATCTCTGATTAATTTTTCTAGTTCTTGTACTCTATTATATAAATATTCGGGGTTTGAATTCCAGTTCGCTACCAAGCTCTGAAAAGAAAAATAGGTTATTATAATACTACAGATATGTAAAAGTAAGATATAGCTACAAATTACAAACATGACACGTACTTTACTGGGAGAAATCAAACAGTGACTGTATTAAGTGAGATGTTTGCTTAAGAATGCTGCCTTTTTCTATACGAGTGTGTCTTCAATCTAACGCTGTCGGATGAGGCTCAACAAAGATAAAGCATAACTTGATATGAACAGAGTAAGAAAATAGAGGCATCCATGCATCAACGTACATAATAGTTCAGGAAATACGTAAAAAAACCACGTTTGTAACTTTGGCATAATTCAGTCATTTAGTAATTTTTTGTATGAAAATTCAGGAAGACATTTTGTTGCAAATGCATAAACCATCCACCCAACAGTTTTGGAGTAAACATGATTCAGATAATTATGAAAACTGCAAGAAATTGCCCATTTCCCTTGCTACTATGTTTGGCTCCAAATTTTCTTGTGAAACTTCGATTTATCGATAAGAGAAGTTTACAGGAGGACTAACAGATCCTTACACAGTATACTGCATTGTGAACGATCGTGAACTCAGGAAGGCAAGGAGACCGAGCGAGAAGTTCTGGATGTCACAAAGGGACCACAGAGTGACAAGATCGCCGATTGGGACTTCTGGCTGTAAGAGATAGATTCAGTCCTACTTGAGCCATCGCAAATCAGTGATTTGAAGAGTATGTATGTAGTAAGGATGATTGGTACGTGTATATCTCCGAATACGAGAGTTTGGCTATTTTTCTTCAAGCACATTGGGTGCTACCTCTCACAGCTAAATATCGGCGTAACCGTTTGCTCTGGTGTAGAGAAACAATTGTATGAATTATATGATAAGAGAAGTTTACAGGAGGACCAACAGATCCTTACACAGTATACTGCATTGTGAACGATCGTGAACTCGGGAAGGCAATTAGACCGAGCGAGAAGTTCTGGATGTCACAAAGGGACCACTGAGTGACAAGATCGCCGATTGGGACTTCTGGCTCTAAGAGATAGATTCAGTACTACTTGAGCCATCGCAAATCAGTGGTTTGAAGAGTATGTATGTAGTAAGGATGATTGGTACGTGTATATCTCCGAATACGAGAGTTTGGCTATTTTTCTTCAAGCACATTGGGTGCTACCTCTCACAGCTAAATATCGGCGTAATCGTTTGCTCTGGTGTAGAGAAACAATTCTATGGGACCGAAAATGGAATCAGGTGGGGAAAACTGAAAACGAGACGTGGTGGAAGATGTGACTCACAATTTATGGAGTGCTATTGCTTATGGTAGTAGATCACCACTAATTCTCATCATATGCATCATGACTGCTATATTCATGTACCATGGAAGCAGTGGAGACTTAGCCCATACCTAAACACCACCCAAAACCCGATTTTTCAGTAAGACAATGGCAGATCGACTAGATATCTATTTTTTACAATAAAATTGGTCAAAAAGTAATGAAAATTAGGTAATCGATAAATCTAGGGTACCATATGAAAGAAGAAGAGTTATAGTATGAATATACAAAAAAAAACAAATTTCTTAATGCAAAATCTTGATCAACAATTAGTGTCATTTTGAAGTTTTCTTTATACACATATTATATTAACTAAAAAACTTCCTAGACACCTGGATTATTCCAAAGTTTTATGATAAAAAACTTTAAAATCAACTAGAAACTTCCTGTGTAATTGGTATATATTTAATGAATCATTAAATAAAAATACAATGGATTACAATTGTTCAGAATGAACGTTTTCGTTCTTATCGGACCACCTTCAGTGATATTTGAAATACTCGCTAAATAACATTATCATCATGCTGTGGATGGATTTAAATTACATATTAGACACTTTCAATGTATACATTGCAACGATATGTTTTCGATGATTAAAAAATTTACTTTCCGGGATCGCTGTCACTACTCGAAACTACCCCACATCTGGGTCCCTCTTCAGACAGCAGCCAACTAAGGTTGGCCCAGGTCTGCCGAAACAAAAAATCAAACAACTGGTTTTGTATTCAATGTACTGAATTTGAAAATCTAGAAGACAAACAGAAACGATTCGGCCAGCTTGCGTGAAAAAGTGAAGGAAGTTGTTTGATTATAAAAGTAAGTGTACTGGATTATTAATCTAGTAGATAGTAGATTCTATATCAAGAAAGTTATCCTTGATACAGAAGGATAATTATTAAACAGTTAAAGAAATTTTTAAGAACATAGGGGATGGATTAGTTGAATTCCAACAACAAGCAAAAAGAAATTTAAGGCCGATTTAAGTCATATCAAGTAAAAATAAAGCGCCACTTTTTAAGCTGTCATGCATAAACACATAAAACTGATTGACTACTTCAAAAATTTAAATTATGAATTATTTTAAAGGTTAGTACAAGTAAAAAACCTTACTTTCGTGTCATAACATAAGTTAATATGTGCCGTGACTTTAAAAACTTGTCGAATCATATTGTAAACATATGAGTGTGTAAAGTATTCTTTAACCAATGTGCATTTCTTACTTCCTTTACATATCACTGAATCTTTGAAACATTTGTCATCTCAAAAATACCAAGTTTATTAATAATTCCGGTTTACACAGATAAAATATGAAATTCCGAAGTGAGATACGTTAAGCTACAGACACATTTTTTACATCAGACACTGACCTCTATATTGTGACTGTTATTTTGGGAAACGAGCCAAAACGTGAATCGGAAGAGCCGATTGATGTAGGTCATTTTCTGCATTGCGGCTTTTCAATCAAAAAATTCTATATATATACATACATATAAATATATATATATATATATATATATATATATATATATATATATATATATATATATTATATAATCCAACTTTTAAATACAATATATTTTGGAGACGGCTATTGCGGTACTCCCGTTCTCCTCCGCCAATCCTCCCGGTACAAGGCATGCTCCTTCTCCAAACCTCTCGATTCCATCGCTCTTCTAATTCCTTCATTCCATGAGCATCGAGGTCTACCTCTTTTTCTTCTTAGTTAATTACTAATAATATAGGTGCACTCGGAAATACAAAACAAAATATACTTACCCTAACAGAACTAATTAATAATAAAAAATATTTATTTTGTTGACAACTAAATATTGGGGCATAGGCAAACAGGTTAATGCCTCGGAACTATAGATGTAAAGGGGTAAATTCATTCCTAATCTGCTTTATTTTGGCTTTAAGTTCGTGTAATGTCCGCTCTTTCTTAGTTTGTTTCCTTTTATGCCATACTGTTTTATTGACATTTAGGTTAGGGCTGCTAGAAGGTCAAGAAAGGACGTTTACATTGTGGCTTTCAAAACAGCTTTATATGGTTCTTGTCGTGTGCGAGACCGCTTCGTCCTGCTAAAAAATATAATTCCCGCTAACATTTAATTTTACAATATTAAGCTGTTTTGAAGTTATTTTGATATTGTGCAGCATTCACGGAACCCTTATTAATTCATCCTACGCCTAAAACTACCATACAAAACCAAATTATCACCCCTTTAGGAAATTTTAAGATCCGTTTCAGAGTCGTTTTGAAAAGCCTCATGTTGTTTGTGGTAATCACCAACGTCGAATTTTGATTCGTGACTAGAAATTACTCGGGACCAATTTTCTAGCGATCAATAAGTTTAGATTTTGCCTACATAGGCCTGGCTTGGTTTTATTTTTCTGTTAACAGTGGCTTTCCATTTGTCTATAAGAAAATTTCATTTTTTAAACTACGAGTACACTTTTAAATTGTTACCTGTAATTCAACTTTATAAAACTTTAACCCATAATTGATTTTCATGCTCCTATCAGAAACTAGTTTTGGGCGACCCAGGCTTTTACCCTCTTTCCCCATAATACTTAATTATATTCTACACTGTAGTTTTAGGAATAATCACCGAATTTTTGAATTTTAAGGGATGCAACGAACTATTTTGTTAAAACAATACAGTGATTCACTCAATTTGACAAGAAATTGACTGTAGAATAAAGTGACGTTTCTTGAAGTGTCCCGTTGCATTGTTTTCGCAGCTTACTTACACAGTTTTTGATTAGTTCTGTCATTCAGTTAAAGTTGTTATCAAGTATTGTAATATTATTTGCTATTTACAATAAAAGCGAATAGAAAGAAGTATAACATTGGTGATATATAAAAATTAAAGAGTAAAAAAAAGCGTAGGAAAAAAAGAAGTGCAGGGGACACTAGTAGACAAGAAGAGGAAGAAAAAGAGGAGTGAAATCATAAATAGTTTATCTTAAATTCAAGAAAATTTTATTTTATTTTTATTTTTTTTAAGACAATTTTAGGTTAGTCGTAAGAATAACTATCAAATTACTATAGATAAATTCACATTCAGATGGCAGCGTTACAGAGATAGGCCTGTACTTTCTATATGCCAGAAATAACTACATTGTTGTCAGTTTTTAATCGTACCTACAATCGTACGTTATGGGCCGGCTCCTATAAAAGAATTATAATTTCGGAAATATTTATGAATGTGAAACGGAAAAATACTACATTTTTTTAATTATATAAATTTTCTGTTGGTATTTTAAAAATAGAAAGTTATATTTCGGAAATCTGGTCTTTTCGGAATTATATCTTCTGTTCAAAATTGTTTACAATTCGTGGAAATGAAATAATTATTTGTATAATCCGTTTTTAATCTGAATGTCCTTTTAATGACACACTTTCTCTACCTGCATTTACAGTTACAGACATTAAAAAATAATTTAGAATTAAAAAAATATACCTATTTATAAATTCAAAATTATTGTCTAATGCCAGCAATTATAAATTCAGGTAAATACTTGAGAGTCATTAAAAGAATTTTCAGTTGATATCAGACGTTTGTATCGTGTCAGTGTCAAAATGGCCGCGAGTGTAATAAAATTCAAAAACGGTAATTTGTTAAATAGTGAATGCAAAAAAATAGTGTTAAATGTTTTTAACTATTTATCAAACAGTAATAATGATAAAA